ATTCTAGGTATTACAAAGGACTCATTTGATGCATCCAGCTTTGTCATCCATAGGGATACGCAGCATTCCCCAAATACCCACCTAATTAGCCTCTGCATGATTGGAAACCTGGAAATGTCTTTTGAAAGAGACTAAACTTCCAAAAATCAGGGGAAACACAACCCTTGGCCTCGATGGAAAGGACTTCATGGAAAAACTTAAACAGAAGATTTTTAAGTATTCTCCAGAAGTAAATAATCTTTGGAAGAAGACTAACAAACCAAGACCTTCAGATAAAGCCAATGATGGCATACATGATGTAGAGAGCTTCCACTCAAGACAATAAAACAAAGTAGATTTTTTTGATATCTCTGCCCTCCTTTTTTAAAATTCTGCTCTACTTATCATTGTACTTTGGTGCCCCCTAGAGGTCAGCCAAAAGTTTTCGAGATTCACATATTCACACACTTTATCCTAATCATCTGTAGCATTTCTCTGCCACCTAAGGAAATGCGAAACTCTCTTGTGTTTTTTTCTTGGACTATAACTATTGTTCTGAATGTAATTGATTAATGGATTTGTCATCCCTTACCTGATTTGACAAACAAAAATTTAATAGCTCTTCCGTTCAACACTTTAAAAGGTAGATTTTCTTCTACAGGTCCCTTCTGGAATCTGATTTTACTTACAGTATTAATCCTAACATCAGTACTATAAAAATGGGAAATAGATCCCAAATAGCAAAACATTTGTGCTGACTTATGATGCAAGCTTACAGGAGTAGAAACAAATATTGAGGCTATCCTTGCCTTATTAATCTGTTACCTTCAGTGACTCCCTAACCTCTGCTCAGGCCTCTTGGCTGGGTGAAAAGTTGAAGAGAGTAAGAAGTACAAGTTGGTTGTTATGAAATAGTCACAGGGATGTAAATTACAGCATAAGGTATATAGTCAGTAATATTGTAATAACTGTGTATAGTGCTATGTGGGTACTAGAAAAGTTGGGGGAGATCACTTCATAAATTATATAAATGTCTAACCACTATGCTGTACACCTGAAACCAATATAAAACAGTATTGAAGTCAACCGTAATTGAAAATTTTAAAAAAGAATAAAAAAGAAAAGATGGTCCAAAATTTGTTTCTGAACCTAGCAGAAGTCATAAGTGACACTACCTCTGCTCAGGAGGTCCAATAAACTATTGGGTTGCCAAGAAAATCTTGACGTATTTTTTCTCTGTTTTTCGTTTTTAAAATGTGTCATGACTTTTCCGACAACCCAATAGTTCAAAAAGTTTCGTGGTGGGCCGGCCGAGTGGCGCGATGGTTAAGAACTGGCTTGGGATGCCAGAGGGCCCTGGTTCGGATCCCACATATGAGGGCCAGTGACACTGCCCTCTACAGCTAAGATGCTGAACAACAGCTCGACCTGGAGCTGGGCTGCCAAGCGTCACCGGCAAAGGCAGTGAAGGCAGCATAGGCTGCAGCCCCTGTGGCAGTGGGTTGCCATGGGCTACCGTGTGTAGCCAGCAGCCAGCGTGAGCGGCCAGCAGCCACAGTGAGCGGCCGTCCATAAGCCGGCGACTGATCTGCCTCGCCCGGGAAGAGCGCAATGATGGTGCCAACTTGGGCCAGTGAAGCAACGTCCTCCACAACTAGACTGAAGAACAAAAGGACAGCAACTTGTCTGTTCCCCTTCCCCCAATTCCCCAGCACTGTTCCCATCCCCCAATTCCCCAATAAAAATCTTTAAAAAAAAAAAGTTTCGTGGTGGTTATGGATGATTATGTAGCCTTTAGCCTCTCCTTGGCTAGCTAAGAACTTTGTTTTATAGCAAACACTGCTGGCAGGACCTACTTAAAACACTATTGGTCATGCAGAATAGTCTTTGGTTAAGTTAAAAGGAAAGACTACCTGGCTCTCTGGAACAGATTCAGATGGATTTGGGGACCTGATTTCACAATCTGGTTTTGACATCTAGCCTTTTTCCTTTACAGGGCACTAATAGCATTAGTAATCGGTTTGTTTCTAGTAATTACCTGTATTGTACAACTATGATCCGTGCAGCCTGTCCAGTCTCAAATGCTACTGTACATTCATTGTCTTTTTTATATGTTTCAACACCTCATCTTGCAATAAAAGGCACATGAGAGACTAACTGTAATGCAGTTGCCCACACTGTCCTCCAAATAACCTTGTGATCAGTGGATTCTGATGGTGTTGTGGATCTGAACCCTGCAGATGAACATCCGGAGGGCTGACTTTACCTTTGGCCAAAAGGGGAGATTGAAAAGTAAAAAGAAAACAGATGTAGGAGCTTATTGCTAGAAACTGGTAAACGCTAATGCTCCCTACTAAACATAAATGTCTCTTGCAGAGTAGTGATTGTGATGGAACAAGATGTAGAAAGACCACTCTATAACTATGTTTGAAACCAGACAGTGGCAATGATACTCTGCATTCAAGACCACAGGAATCTCAGGTTGGCCGAGTGGCATGTTGGTTAAGAGCTGGCTTGGGACACTAGCTCTGAGCAGCAGGGCCCCAGTTTGGATCCCACATGAGGGCCAGTGACACTGCCCTCTACAGCTAAGATGGTGAACAACATCTCGAGCTGGGCTGCTGTGAGTCACCGGCGACAGCATAGGCTGCAGCCCTTGCTGCAGTGGGCTCCGGTAAACTACTGTGTGTGGCCGGCAGTCGGTGTGAGCTGCCAAGAGCTGCCGTAAGCGTCCAGAGGCGGGCGACCGATCTGCCTCACCCGGGAAGAGCGCAATGATATTACCAACATGGTCCAGTGAAGCAACGTCCTCCACAACTAGACTGAAGAACAAAACAATAGCAACTTGTCTGTTCCCCTTCCCCGATTCCCCAATAAAATCTTAAAAAAAAAAAGAGAAAAGAGCTTGCACTCTTGAGTGAGCTGTTAAAAAAAAATAAAAAAGACCACAGGAATCTCGAATAGTCAGTGGGCTCTGGAAATCTGAAGTCATCGTCACAGAGAAGCCAGTGGTGAGCCTCTGGCTCTCGGAGCCTTTATCCTGGTTGTCCCCCTGCACCGCGAGTACCGTATGGATCTGGTGGCGCTGGGATTCGACCCTGTACTGGGCTTTTAGGCCTACCCCCTCAGCCTAGCTGGGATGGTGCCTCCCTGATAGAGCTCCCAGGCTGCGCTGAACAAGAGTTCGCCCTTGGGCCTCGTGATACCTGCTTAGCAGTTGCTCCTTGCAGGCCAGAACGCACAGGCGGCTGCTCTCCGTGTTAGTCTTCCTTTACCGTCCCCGGGATTTTTGCCTGTCGGTCTCCGGATGAAGACCATTCTCAGCAATCACACTGCACATTCCAGAAAATGTGGACATCACTCTGAAGGGACCACAGTTATTGTGAAGGGCCCCAGAGGTGCCCTGGGGAGGGACTTCAATCACATTAGTGTAGAACTCAGTCTTTTTGGAAAGAAGAAGAGGCTCCGGGTTGACAAACGGTGGGGAAATAGAAAGGAAGCGGCCCCTGTTTGCACTCTCTGTAGTCATGTCCAGAACATGGTCAAGGGTGTTACACTAGGTCTCCGTTACAAGATGAGGCCTGTGTGTGCTCACTTCCCCATCAACATCGTTATTCAGGAGAATTATTCTCTTGTTGAAATCCGAAATTTCTTGGGTGAAAAATACATCCGCAGAGTTCGGATGAGGTCAGGTGTTGCTTGTTCAATATCTCAAGTCCAGAAAGATGAGTTAATTCTTGAAGGAAATGATATTGAACGTGTATCAAATTCAACTGCTTTGATTCAACAGGCTACAACAGTCAAAAACAAGGATAGCAGAAAATGTTTGGATGGTGTCTATGTTTCTGAAAAAGGAACAGTTTAGCAGGGTGATGAATAAGATCTAAGTTGTCCAGCTACAGAAACACCCAAGATGTCAAGTGATTCTTTAGGCTTTTTTTGTGATATTTTAAAAGATGCAATAAAAATCATATACTAAAACAAAAACAAAAACACACCCCAAAAAACCCCCACAGGACTCTCCCTGCCTCCTAGGTAAAAATTGCTAAGATAATCACCAAATTGCACGATTATTACGAAACTGGTTTCTGTTTCTCTAAATACTCCTTAGAATCACCAGCCAAATCCTGTAATAGGCTCCCCATAACTCCTTCCTATGAAGAGCCTTCGTACTCCTGCACTGTTTCTCTCTCTAGGTGCAGCACACTAAATAAGCGCAGCGTTGTCCAGCTACTCATTGGAATCATTGGTTGGCTGGCAGTAACTGCTATTGTCTGAACGTTTGTGTGCCCGCCTCCCCCCCCCCCAAAAAAAAATTCACATGTTGGTGATGGTATGAAGAAGTGAGGCCTTTGGGAGGGCTCCTCCTCATGAATGTGATTAATATCCTTATAAAAGAGGCCCCCGAGAGCCTGCTTGCCCCTTCAGCCATGTGAGGACACATCGAAAAGAAGGCTGTCCCTTCAGCCATGTGAGGACACATCGAAAAGAAGGCTGTCTATGAACCAGGAAGCTCTCACCAGGCACCAGATCTGTTGGTGCCATGGTCTTGGACTTCCTAGCCTCCAGAGTTCTGAGAAACAAATACTTGTCTACAGTCCACTAACTCTATGGCATTTTGTTATAGCCATGTGAACAGACAAAACCCGCTCCTATCTAAATCTAGGAATGCCATTTTAGGATCTTCTTGCTCTACCCCTCCATCCCTTAAATCCTACCCTGGTTCATGCCCAGTAGATCTGCTCTCAAATCTTTTGAAATTATAGTAAAGATAATTTTGAATTGCTGGGCATCACGGAGGCAAGCACTAATCAGATAATCCCATTTCGCATGAAAGAATTAAGTTTGGAATGGATTTTCCTGAGAGAAGCTATAGGGGTAGGCCACCTCTCCCTAAGGTGGTCCAATAAATGGGGTTATTTAGAAGCACAGGGCGTGGGCCTTTCCTGATTTCAAAGTCCTTTTCTGACAGGTGGCTTTAGCTCGCCCTTATTTGGTATCAGGTAGGAGCAGTTCAGAACATGGAAACAATGGCTTACAGCAAGGGGCCATGGTGGACCATTCCTGAAAACTTTTGCCTTCCGTTGGTGTTTTACATGGAAGAGGACCAGGAGGAGCGCATCTTTGGTGAGTGACCCTTGCCTATGCCCCGCCCCATCCCTCTCTTCTGGGGCTACCAACCTTCCATCTGTCCCAGGTCCCTATCCCAGCCCCTTCTCACGCCCTCATGCTGGTAGTTTATGTGTCTCTCCTTGGGCTCACAGGCCACCTTGATGCAGACCTTCACCATCTCGAGGTACACAGCCACACCCTCATTCAGCTGGAGGGGTGGTTCACAGCCACAGGCCAGACGCGTGTCACCGTAGTTGGACCACTTGAGGCAAGGCAGTGGCTGTTCCTCATGATCTGGAGCATGGAGAGCTGGGACCCCGATCAGCAGGCCCGAGGTAGACGTCCTTGGCTGACTGTGGTTGAGGGCTTGATGATGAAGTTGCATGGCATCTTGGTTTCTTCAAGAATCAGTTGGGTAGCTGGGAAATCCAGGTGTTCCCTGGAGCCCTCGAGAAGCGGGGGCCTGGAGCCACAGCTATTTTCATGGTATGCAGTCTGGGAGTTACAGAAAGGTAACAGGGAGATGTGGATGGGGCAGCCAGGAAGGCTTGGGTTGGGGCAACACCCCTCAGTGTTCCCCTTGGGGTCCTAGGTTGCTCAGGGGTCTCAGTCATGAGTTCTATCTCACCAGGACACCCCTCACAGGTCTCGAGATGCTGCAGTGTGTCCGGAGCCAGCTTCTAACCAAGGACGACCTGGAAGCTGCTCCCAGCATACAGCTCTACTCCACGGCCCTGTCTTTGCTAGTCAGGATGGGCAGGACTGTCCATCCTAGGCTTTGTCAGGCTTCCCCTTACTGATCAGTTGGCTCTTCTAGATTCCATTGGATTTCACCCTGTAAGTAATAAAAGACTGATCTCCCCGGGGCGCTGAAATGTGAGGGGAAATTTTGGCTTAGCCACTGTTAAGAAAGATGTAAGGGCATTTATGTTGAATTTGTAGCCTAATCCTGTCCTCAGACCTTCTAAGCATATGTCTGAGAGACATGTCTCCCAAATGTAAGAAAATGTTCTATGGGCAAAGATATCCAATAAAATAAGTGACTCAATGTGCAAAGCCTTTGGCGTGCTGTCCTCTTTCCTTTGGATAAGTGTATCTGGCTCAGCAGGTGCTGGGATCTGGGGAACCATGATGCATCACCTTTGCTGCCTCTGGGAGGCAGCCCAGTAAAGGAGTAAGAAACAGAAAAGATAGCTCTTTCACAAACTGCTTCTCTCAGACCCAGAGCCTGGTTAGGCTGCTCTGGTTGAAAACAGGGGCTTCTAGAAAAGAAGAGACCCTCCTAAGAATCCCAGAACACCTCTCCCAACCCCATATCTTAAAAAACAGACAAAAGAGAAGGAAGTTGTGTGGAGGGGTGTGTCTAGGTGAGACAAAGTGGTCCCGCCCTCTTTCCTGGGGAAGTAGGCAGGCAGGCAGCCTGGTGAACATTAGGTACCCAGGCACTGTCCTCGACTTCCGGAAGTTCGGGGGTAGGATTGGGAAGGGGGTGGTTTCTGGAGCAAAGGATTCTGAGGTCCCACAAGCCATGAATAAATTGATTAGTAAGGTTTCCTGAGTCTACATCCCAGAGCTTTCCTGAATGTCAAATCCATATTTGGATCTCTCTGCCCAAGATTATGGCAAGCTAAACATGTCCTCACTTGAAAGCTTCCCCCTTCAACTTTCCCTCGCAGCCTGTACCTCACGAAGCTATTGTATACTCTAGGTGAGAAAGATGCTGTTTTGACTACAGTGGAGTAGTGGAAGTGCTCAGAAACGGTTGAATTTGGAATATATTTCAAAGCCAGCAAGATTTGCTAATTTCACGGTTTCTGGCCAGTTATTATACAAAAGTTAGATCAGGTTCATGGTAGAAAAACATAAATCTGTCTGGAAGAAAACTAAAGCATATTATTCTCACAGGAAATATGCTTCCTTCATAATTGATAATTTAACGATTAATGGCTCATACAGGGACAAGTTTTGTGTGTTAAAGACACTTGCAAAAAGACTATTTTCTCCCTCAATTAAGTTTCGCACAAGAATTATCAAATTAACACTCTGCCTGCTTGGGGCTGTAATTCTGATCTCTAAATCCCAGTCCCCAAAGATAGCTATGTAGGCACAGCTCAGGTATTAACGTAGGTGTTAGTATCTCAAACAGTGGAGGGGGACTAAGTGCATTTAAACCTTATCTCTACCGCTAAATAGCTTTATGATCTTTGGCAAGTTACTCAGTGCGTTAGTTTTCTCATCTGATAGTAACTACCTATAACTATTACAGGTATAGCAAATATATGTATTTTGTCTACATCCATTCACTGGCTTTCTTCTAACAGAATTATAGCTTTGTAGGTCTCTCTTTCCTAGTTTCAAAAGGGGAGTTCTGATTGGCTTAAGCCAACCAGGGCACACACATGGCAACTGTTACCAGGTTCAGGCATGAGCATGTGATCTGTATTAGTCTAATTAGGTGTCAGGGAAGGATTTATATTCCACAGTTGTGTGGAGGGCGCCCCACCCCCTCGCCTCTCCTGTTAGATGTGATCAAGGAGGTGTGTGGTACCAATTGCCCCTGGAAGCCATCTTGTGGACCATGAGAGGAACCACCAATAATATCCTGCTAACGAGGAGGAAAGCAAAGAGAGAAAGAACTTGGGACCTCGATGGTGTAATTGAGCACCTTGTACTCTGCCTGGAGCCACCCTACCTCTGGACTTCAGTTATGTTAGATAATAGAATGTCCTTAATGTTTTAGGTTGTTTCAGCCAGGGTTTTCTTATACCGATAGCCAAATGCATCCTCACTGATACATCACCTGTGGTAATGTAGTGAGGATTAAATGAGATAATACTTGGGAAACATTTATTGGCACAATACTGGGCAGTAACTAAGCATGGGTTGTTATTCTAAAGTCTGGGATCCAAAGACTCTGTAGGCTGGCTCTGGCTGTGGGCCTGGCATTGGTAGGATACAGTGTAAAGAGAAGTGGGGAGCAGAAATGTGGTGTTATGGGGCTCAGGTACAGGCGAAGGGTTGATGAGACCCCCCCTTTTCTTTGGAGCCTACAGTGAAGTTGAGAGAAGTCAGCCTTCCCAGTGAATGGGCAAAGTCTAGGCATGGGCATCATATATGGGGTCTGAGCCAATTGTGTTTGGGGGATGGAGAGGGATGGAGGCCAAAGATGCTGAGGCCTAGGTGGGAGTGAGAGAGGGGCTGCTCTATTAGGTCCTGTAGAAAAATGATTACTAGTTATTTGGCATTAATTAACTTCCTCCCAGGTCCCTTTAGAAAAGTACAAAGACCTTTAGAAGTAACAGATTAAACCTGTGACAGTGTGAATGAAGCTTGATGATCACTCTCCTCTTGACTGAAAGGCATCTGAAGTTGTGAGTTGGAAGTTGCTGAAAGCTGAGTCTAAGGCCCAGGGAGACCAAGACACTTTGATGCATTCAACATTATTGAGTGCCTACTGCATGGCACAGAGTAATAAGCCTAAGTTATAATGCGAGTGAGATGTCTGGGGCATCTGGAGTGACTTTGGGCCCACGTGAAGACATTTAGGGGTCACGCTCAGGAGGAAAATTTGGGCAGGAGATATGTGATTGGGTGGGATCATCCTGCATAGTTGACATCATAGATAAGACCACCTGGGGGTAGAACGTGAAGGGTGAGGAGCAAAGGGGAGAGGGGGATAGTGGACTCTGTGGGAACGCTGAGTTAAGTGATGAAAAACAAGACAGAGGTTGGAAAAGTGAATGAAGATGATTGAGCCAGACAGGGAGGAGACAAACTGGGAAGCAGTCTTAAGAGAAAGAATGGTTGCAGTGTCAACTACCTCAGAAAGGCCAAAGGGGATGCTGACTGACTGTGTCCATTGAATCAGTTCCTAGAAGGTCATGGATTAACTCATAGAGCAGTTTTTCTGTGGTGTTGGGTAGGCATGGGTCTGACTGTCATGTGCCAGTTAGTGGATGGATGCTGTGGAAATGGAAAACTCTTATATAATTTATTTTATAAATAATTTAGTTCTAAAAGAAAGGTGAGATATAAAGTAAAATAAAGAAGGTAAGTTCTCAGGCCGGCCGGGTGGCACGATGTTTAAAAACTGGCTTGGGACGCCAGAGGGCCCCGGTTC